ATATACACTTGGAATTTTTGTAGATTTCTCAAAAGCATTTGACAGAATCAACCACATTACATTAATTAAAAAACTAGAACACTACGGTTTTCGGGGGAACTTTATAAGTGTCATAAAAACCTATTTGAAATACCGACAGCAAAAAGTAGATATAAATGGCTACGCATCTAGTTTTAAAAAACTGTCACATGGCGTGCCCCAAGGAAGTATTCTGGGTCCCCTGCTTTTTAATCTGTATGTGAACGACTTGACAAACATCGATAACAATACAACATTTATTATTTATGCAGATGATACCAGCTTATTTTTTAAAGACTGCGATTTGCATAAACTAGTTGACAAAGCAAATAGTGTCTTGAAACTGCTGCACATTTGGAGCATAAGAAATTCGCTAATTATAAACACCTCAAAAACAAAATCTGTGCTCTTTCGTCCAATAAATAAGCCCGTAAACTGCGATTTATCATTAGTGATTGGCTCAGAATCTATAAGGATTGAACCGATAGTGAAAACTCTGGGAGTTTTTTTCCACGAGAACATGCTATGGAAGGATCAGGCTGAGTTTGTCCATGCTAAACTTTCTCGTACTGTAGGTATCTTATCGCGCTTACGTTTTCTCTTGCCACAAAAAATTAAACTCTTACTATATAAATCGCTATTTTTATCTACATTAAGCTATTGCTATCTAGTATGGGGCACCACATCGGAAAAGAACTTAGGCCGAATATATAGATTACAGAAAAAGGCTGTGCGCATAATTACAGGTGTTCCTCGCGATGAACATTCCAAACCCATTTTCGAAGCCCTTAATTTACAACCAATGCCTGAGATATACAATACAATTTTAATGAAGCGATATCGTACTTCCTTAAAGAATCACGACTCTTTTCTTACTGATTTAGCGCGTTTGACACCCTATACCTGCCCCTATAGCACACGAGCTACCGATGACTGGAAAATTCCTTACACACGTACTAACTATGGTCGCCAGATGATGAGCTACTTACTGCCACTAACCTTAAACAGTTTCTTACAATAAACCATTTATACTGCTCCGTTCTGTAAATGTTTTTCAACGTGTTAATAAAATGCAAATCGGCATGACCTTGAAGTACATGTTTTGATATTGTATAATAACTGATGATCTCATGCTGCTGTTGCTGTTGCTATGTTGTCAAATGGTGCGAAAGCCTTCGTCAAGCCTTAATGGCTTTTTGCTTTCGCCCCACAGCATCACTGTTGTGACTTTTGTAATGTCTCCTGTGATGTCGGAATAAACTGAATTGAATTGAATTGAATTGACTGCGTGAGGGCTTGAAGCCCTTTCATGGGCACCGCCGGCTCATCCCACTGGTCCACGACGAGGACGTGCTCGGCGGCATCCTCGTCGTTCTGCAGCTCCTGTTCAAGAGACTGCGGTAACCAGCTTAATGCATCCGCGTTGAGCATAAATTTTCCCGGCTTGTACAGCAGTTTATACTTGTATGCACCAAGTAGTAGCGCCCATCTTTGTATTCTGGCTGCCGCCATGACGGGGGTCTGACGGTCGTGCCTTAACAGGCCCAGCAACGGCTGGTGATCCGTAACCAGAGTGAACTCTCGCCCCAACAGGTAGTCCCTAAACCTAGTAACACCAAATATCAAGGCTAACGCCTCGCGCTCGATCTGACAGTACTTTTTTTCGGCAGTTGTCAGCGTTCTCGATCGCAAGCCTACGGGTCGCTTCTCGCCTTCGGTGTGATGAAAAAGTGCAGCACCAACTCCGTATGGGGACGCATCACACTCCAAGAAGAGCTCACGGTTCGGGTCGAAATGAGTGAGTATGGGTGCCGCGCACAACGCATTTTTCACCTGGACAAAGGCTTTCTTTTCTTTGGTGCTCCACGTCCACTTAGCGCCCTTTTTCAGCAGTTTGTACAACGGTGCTAGAATGGTAGACAAGTCGGGCATAAACTTGTTGTAAAAGGTTACCATGCCCAGAAATGAGCGTAGTTCGCAGACGTTCTGTGGAGAGGGGGCTAGCCTGATAGCATCCACGTTCTTTTCCATGGGATGCAGTCCGTTCGCGTCAATACGGTGACCCAGATATGTAACAGAGGGCTCGCTAACGCGGCACTTATCACCACGAAGCTTAATGCCATGTTCACGGAAGCGCTCGAGCACAGCTATCAGATTGCGGTTTCGGAGGTCACCCTCTTCCGCTATCAACACGTCATCTAGGTACGCTTTCACCCCAGGCAAGCCCTGTAGGATTGATTCAATCCGCCTTTGAAATATCGCCGGTGCCGAAGCAATCCCAAACGGGAGGCGGTTGAAGCAAAAGAGGCCCTTGTGGGTGTTTATCACGGCAAATTTTCGAGACTCTTCGTCTAGCGGGATCTTGTAGTAGGCGTCGCGCAAATCCAAAATGCTGAACCGCTCCCCCCCACCTAATTGCGCAAAAATATCCTCGATAAGAGGCAGCGAGTATTGTTCCAGCTCGCATACTAAGTTCAATGTAACCTTGAAGTCATCGCAAATGCGAACTGTGCCGTCTTCCTTTAAGACTGGAACAATGGGCGTAGCCCATTCCGAGTGCGTCACTGGTGATAAAATGCCAGCTGCCACAAGTCCTTCTAATGCCTCTGAAACTTTATCCAACAGAGCGTAGGGTACCTTTCTTGCCTTGAAGAACTTTGGCGTCACTCCAGGCTTGATGTGAAGGCGCACCGGTGGGCCTTTCATGAGTCCTACGCCCTCTGTGCACAGGGCGGAGTAGTGGTCCAACACAGCAGGCGCGGGCGGAGACTCCGGGCTCGACCCGAGTGGTGGCGCAGCTACGTGGAGTACTGCTGCGCCCTGCTCTTGTAGTTTCTGCAGCAAATGACGACTGCACAGGAGAGGACCTTCGCAGTCCAAGACGATTAGGTTGCAATCAACCTCCGCCGATTTGTGGCATACACGCATGACAGTACTCCGAGTACGGGTAGCTTCCCCAAATAGCACGCCAGCTTTATCTTTGGCTCCTGCAACTTCGGCAATTGATGATGGTGGGCTTTGTAGGTTGCTCTAGGAATGACGCATACGGGCGAGCCGGTATCAACGTCCATCTTCAGCTTTACGCCGTTCCACGTGAACGTTTCCTGAATCGGTGGCACCAATGAGTTCTTCGAAGTTACGGACCACAGTTGCGACGCGCTGCTGTCACTGTCGTTGGCTTGGGCTGTTACATTCAACACGTTGTCGATCCTTTGGCACATGCGTGCCAAGTGCCCTTGTTTTCCACATTTGTAACAGTGCCTCCCACGCATTGAACAGGTCGCGCGCTTATGATTACGCTTTCGCAGCACTCGCATGGCTTTCCGTCTTAGTTTTTCTTCTGGCCTCGCGGCACCCAGCGTTGCTCCTTCATTGCCGACACTGTTACCGGGGGTGTTTCTCGATTTATGTTCTCCGAATCTGACTCTGCCCTTTCTGCCGCCAACGCAAGTGCCTCTGCTTCTTGTAATGTCAACTCAGGTTTCGCAAGCAGCTGCTTTTGCAAATTTCTTGAACGTACCCCACACACGATACGGTCCCTTAACATCCTAGGCAGCATGGACGAGAAGTTGCAGTTATGCGCTAGGCGCCGTATTTCCACAATGAATGCGTGAACAGACTCTCCTTCTTGCTGGTTTCGGTGGAAAAACTTGAAGCTTTCTGAAATTTTGTTTGGTCGGGGGTCATAATACTCGCTTAGAACTTTCACTACGGCATCGTAGCCGAGTGCGTTTGGCTTCTGCGGTGCCACTCTACCGCATAGCACATCAATCGTTCGCGACCCAAGTGCGGCTACCAACAGGGCTCTTTTCCTGGCATCGTCAGTGACTTCGTTTGCTTCAAAATATGCCTCAACCTTCACGAGGTACGCTTGCCACTTATCTGTGTCGTCGTTGAATTCCGGGAGGCGGTGACTCATGCCTGTCGATGGGGTGGCTGCTTGCCCACCTTCAGGAAGCAGCTGGGTCTCGTTCTTTGTTGAAATCCTCGTCGCCACTGTTATAACCGGCCCCGCGGCTGGGCCGCGCCCCGAAATGCACGAACATAGTGGCCAGGGCAAAAAGCGAGTGCTTATTGTCCGGCTTGGTTTTTTTATAAGAACGAAAGGTAAGGGAAGGGGAAGAGGGAGATAAGATAGAAGGCGCGCGCAGCGTAGACTGGCAGCGCTTGTTTAGCGGTGGCGAACAGTTCATGGCAGATGGAAATGGTGGTACTTGGAGTGTTGAATAGGTGGACGAATGAACATACAGACAGATGCATAGACGGACGCATGGATGGCTGCACGGACGGATGGACGCATGTACGGACGCAGGAGCGGATGCATGAACGAAAGCAGGGACGGACGCACAGATGAACGTGCAGACGCACGAACAGACGCACGCACGGACGCGCGGGTGGACGCACGGGCGGCCACACAAAAGCACACATGGATGACGGAAGCAAGAACGAATGGACGGACGGATGCTTTGCCCCACTATCCATCATTCACTCATGGATATGCTGCCATTTTTCGGATTACCAAAATTAGCAGATGATCTAAGTTTATTCCCACTTGAAATTTTCATATCAAGTTCGAGCGTATAAGATACATGGAGAGCTATTGGCTTGTCAGCAAGCGCGTTCACTTTAGGCTCTATTTTAGATGTCTGCAAGCTAAAAAGCAGCTTCCACTGTCGTCTCAACTGACGCCTCACCTGTAGACTGGTGGTATTCACAGCTCTATAACTATTACATGCAGGGTTCATGTGTACCTTTAACCTTAAAAACAGCTGCCGCCTGCATACCATCTTCATCTTCTGTAAACCATTATTCATTGCTTATTTGTAGTATAGCTGCTTCGCTTTTATATTTTTTGCTGATCTGTTTTTAAGATGCAGGTCCATCGACAACGATTTCCCGCGTTGCTGACGTATTGCTTGACAGAGTGCAGGAAACACCAATGAAATTATAGCCTTTCATGTTTTGTTAATTTGCTGTATTGTCGCTTTCACTTCTCGCTCAAGGCAAGGGACAATAAGTGATGTTCATGACGTTTGCGGTTGCTCGAATCCTAATCGGCAAGTTTGAGCACACTGGCAGTGTCTACACGGTTAAAGTTAAGAGCCAGGAGACGAAGAATGCTCGTAAAACAACACACAATGTCAGGAGATGGCACTACTGTAGAAGAAAAGCCAGACTTGACAGCGGAAGGACAAAATGACGTTGAGAGGTAACTTGCCGAAGTGCCCGATACTTGGTGCTGCGTCATATGTAAGTTTGACCAGTGATTAGCTTTTTAACACGGATTGCTTGCCATCTTGTGTGCGCGTGGAAGTAAATGTGTCGTAAGTTGACGTTCGGGAATGTAAATGTGCCGGGAATTTCTGACGCCCCAGGTGGAAATGGAACCGGAAGAAGGTGTTTCACTGGGTGTTCCTTGTATCGGCCGTTCTCTACGCCATGTGGCGGTTTTCGGTCAACGAAGACAGTAAGTAATCAGAACGACCATATTTGTCTCTCCTACAACCACTACATTACGTTACCAAGCTCCATATCTATTGTTGGTGACAAGCTAAGAATAATAAATAGTACAGTGTACCACTATCTATTTGTGTTATGCGTGTCCATCTGTAGTACTGACCTTTGGTATGACACAATGGCTAGGAAGACGTAATAAAGAAGACTACCCTCGTCCGCACGTACACAGCTACATCCTCGACTGTCCCTAATCAATGCAGTTGGTGCTTGTGATTGTGAATTTTTTTGTGATTGTGTTTGTGATTGTGAAATCTGAAGCAGCTTGGATTGGTTTGCAACGCTTTATCGCGTTTTGTCGTTTCTGCGCATCGAAGTGGCAACACGGAGGAAGCATGAAAAATAAGGGCAATGCGGCCTCGTGGGCGGAACCTGTACTTATTCTTAGGCTGTCAGCGGCTACAGGTTTTTATTTTGACAGAGCTGGTCTGGCTGCCTCCTCTCATTGTTCTTTTCGAGAAGTACATGAAAAAGCGGAGCACGACCTCTCTTGCTGATATTGATACTATGTCTTGTGCAATGTTACTTTCGGGGCCGTATTCCCAACACTCCTATTAGATTTAAATGCAACAAATGTAGTTCATTTCAAAATTCAGTAGCTTGGACATAGTGACTGAAAGGTTGCCAATGTTTTGCTGGAGTTTCTTAAAAGGCTCAAAAAGATTTAGGGTATAGAATCAATTTTAATTCAGTTTCTTCTACTTTTCCAAATCACTTTGTTGGATTGATTGATTTTGGCGCCCCATTTCTAATGTGCTCCAAGTACTACAAATGTGTTTCTAAATTTCCAGTATTTGCTTATATTTTACTTCCTTCACCTCAACTGGACAGAATTTAACCTCTTCTTTGAGAGCTGTCTTTTGAAGCTGCCCAATTCTTGGCCAAGCACCCAGCATGGGTGTTTGCCAGAGTTTGAATGTTCTACTTTATCCACACTGTTAGCTATAAAAGCGAAAGCTTTAAATTAAACTTGCATCCCTTGCCCACTTATGCTATGCAGAAAAGGTAATAAGCTACTAGAAAAAGGACGTGGCGAAAAAACTTCGCTGGCCCCATTCTGGTATTCGGCATTGTTTGGGTAACCTTGTAATTACCGAAAAGTGCTTGACAGGACAAGGGCAACAGGGAGCTTCGGGTTCCGTTCCTCTAATAGAACGTAATGGGTGGCGCGAGAACTTGCTAGCACTGTTTCTTGTAACCTATATGATTATTATTAGTGGGGAGTAGGGAGGAGAAGTGCGGGGTCATTAAGGTTTAATAGTACCGACAACGGCCATGAACATGAAATGAGGTGACTGCACGGATGGAAAGGTTGTCTCTCATAGTGACTCAAACCAACCTTGTTTTTTCTCGTGAAAAGTGAAGTCATATTTTTATGTCTTCATACAAAACCGCAAAATATCTTGTGGCGCCAGCTGGTGGCATAAAATTCAATTAGCCGATGTACCCTGTCACGTGACCGCGTAAGCTAGTGCACGCGGTCAACGATTTTCCTGTTAGTATGAAATATTGTTTGCTTCTTTGTAGTAAAATCTACTGCTCCATAAAAATGTATTTATAGGTCCACGTTCGTACCACGAATTATAGTTGCGCTGCTTTTGCATGACGTAATAATCTAATGCTTGTCAGCGCGGCATGAGCAATTTGTCTGTATACTCATGAAACCATGCACGCAATTTTTTCTGGTTACCAAGATTTTGGAGTGATTTCACTCTTCTACTTACAATCTGGCTCAGAAATGAGGTGTAGTGCTAGTTGGCACGGCCGCGCATATGCGCGATGACGTTTTTGGTGACTTGGCTTGTCTCGTGTGCCCTGAGAGTAACGACGACAAAACAAGCCATCCACGACACAGGCGCAACAAGCTTGGGCGCAGGCGCACGCAACGTGGTACAAATACACGGAAGCTGTAAAAAGCCATGTCGTCTCAATGTAACGACTTGATGCTGATAAATATAGTTGTAACGCTCAGAATAAACGTGGTCAGGCATAGTGACAGGAACTCCATGGAAGCAGATGAACGGCAGCATGCATGAGTCGCCAGATATATACTACCGGTATCGCTATCAATTTTCAGCGTTGCTACATTAAAAGCTCTCAGATCGAAAAAAATTCTGCTCATAATGAAGGAAGGAAAACAGGAATAAAAGAACGGCAGGGAGGTTAACCAGCCTATAGGCAGCCGGTTTGCTACCCTGCGCATGGGAAGAGGATGGGGGAGATGAAAGATAGAGAGCGGAGAGGGAAGAGAGATAAACACAGACATTAGGCAGCACATGCGCGAACACTCATAGTCCAGTCTTGTCTTTCACGGTGTGTGACATTGCTGTTACAGCCGTTTGTTCAAGTCCGTGTCACGTAAGACTTTCAACAGAGCTTTTGTCGACTTCTGTTGCAATGTCTTCTCTCGGGCACTTGACAGAATAGTGTCGACAGACATTTGGCTGTTGTCGATGCGCACAATAAAGAACGCCAGTGACTGCCTCTGGATGTCATACAACGGACAGTCACACAGGATCTGGTGTAGCGTCTTTTCGCAATGACAGGCATCGCAGAGAGCGTTGTCGGCCATTCCTATGACAAAGGAATAAGATTTTGTAAATTCCACTCTTGCCATAAGCGATGAAGAAAGGTGGCTTCTCTTCAGTCGAGCCCAGTGGGCATGCGAAGAGCCATGAAAAACAGGCGGTGTTGACGATTCGTCTCGTTCCTTGGTGGGCACGATAGTGAAAGCGTGATTTCACGTGCAAGTAGTCGAAAATTACAGGCTTTATCGGTCCGCGAAAGTGGTATAGCTTCTTCTCGTGTTCCTTTATGAGCGGCCCGCGCGGCAGTATCGGCATGTTCATTCCCTATGATGCCGCAGTGACTTGGCAGCCACTGAAACGTGAATGATGCCCTTTCTCGTGTGAAGTGTGGAGAACGCATCGAATTTCGAAAACAAGCTGCTCGTACGGCCCGCGACGAAGTGCTGAGAGCACTTACTTGTAGGGCAGCCTTTTCGTCGCTGAAAATCGACCACTGTTGCGGTGGTTCCCGATTGACCACTCTAAGTGCAGCGCGCAAAGCAGATAGTTCCGCTGCTGTAGAAGCCGTAGAGTCATCATAATAATCATCATCATTATTATCATCAATATCATCATCATCAGCCTGACTACGTCTACTGCAGGTCAAATGTCTCTCCCATGTTCGGCCAGTTAACCTGGTCCTGTGCTTGCTGCTGCCAATTTATACCTGCAAACTTCCTAATCTCATCTGCCCAACGAACCTTCTGTCTGCCCCTAACCCGCTTGCCTTCTCTGGGAATGCAGTTAGTTAACCTTATTGACCAGCGGTTATCCTGTATACGCGCTGCATGCCCGGCCCATGTCCCTTTTCTCTTCTTGATTTCAACTATGATATCCTTTACACCTGTTTGTTCGCTAATCAACTCTGCTTTCATCTTGTCTCTTACCTACCATTTTTCTTTCCATTGCTCGCTGCGTCGTCCTCAATTTAAGCTGAACCGTCTTTGTCTACGTTTCCGCTTCGCAGCTAAGCACCGGCAAGATACAGCTGTTATATACCTTCCTCTTGAGGGATAGTGGCAATCTACCTGTCATAATTTGAGAGTACTTGCCAAATCTGCTCCACTCCATTTTTATTTTTCTAGTTACTTCAATCTCGTGGTTCGGCTTCATAGTTATTACCTGTCCGAAGTAGACATTATCTTTTACAACTTGAAGTGCACTATTACCTATCTCAGAGCGCTGCTCTCTTCCGAGGTTGATGTACATTACTTTCCTTTTCTGCAGATCAATTTTAAGACCCACCTTTGTGCTCTCTTTGTCTAACGCCGTAATCATGAGTTGCAATTCGTCCCCTGAGTTACTCAGTAATGCAATGTCATCGGCAAAGCGCAGGTTACTGAGGTACTCTCCATTAACTCTCATCCCTAATTGTTCCCAGTCAAGGTTTCTGAGAACTTCCTGAAAGCACGCGCTAATTATAGCATTTGGGAGATTGTATCCCCTGCCTTACACACTTCTTGATTGCTATTCCGTTGTTTTGTTTATGAAGCACTATGGTAGCAGCTTGATCCCCTGTAGATTTACTTCCAGGATGTTTATATACTCTTCATCTACGCCCTGATTACACAGTGTCTGCATGACGGCTGATATTTCTACTGAATGAAACGCCTTCGCATAATCTATGAAGGCTGTGTATAGTGGAGTGGCCAGTCCTTAAGCTGATGGTAACAACTTTTACTGGGACAACTACTGACCCGACGAACACTGCTGGTTCGTGGAGCCATTGGTATATATATATATATATATATATGTACACTGTCTGAATATTTCTCGTAAAAAAGAAGAGACAGTTGTTTCAGCATGGGTGATGAAGCTCAGATTTCCTCCGAATCTCTGGTACACTAATTTGCACTGTGAGTCAAGCAAGACACCAGGAAAGTATCGATGGCTTAGATGCAGGAGTAAAGCCCGAGGGCAGTTTCTCAGTTGTACTTCACAATCATTTTAGCAAACGATGCTTGGCGCCTCTCTGAAGGCAACAGTGCAAGGTGATGACAGGGAGCACGTGAGAAGTGTCTGATGTGCGTTCTCAGGACTTCTACAACATTGTGAGTTTGTCCATCAGCAATTACAATTGTTGCCTCTGTTGACGCACATCCGGGCAGACCAAGGCACACTCTCACTTCTCGGGCTTGTACTGCCTGTCGAACATGAACATTGGTCTTGCAGGTATTGCTAAGCACGGGCAAGCTACCTTTCAGGAAACCGAGAAACAGGGCTCTGTAGAGTTCCATCATTGCGTTTACTGAAATCCCCTACGTGTTTCCTGCCAGGAACTTGAACGATTGGGAAATAGCGATCAGGCGCTCCTTCATATAGGCCACATGCGGAATCCAACAAAGTTCCTTTTGTGATGACGTTTATTGAACCGGAGAAGTCGCAA